GAAAACTTCTACAGCTTAGTCTAATCTGGAGATCTGAAGTTTCAACATGAGGCTGGCACTTATAATCATCAAACAATAATAACTTTTATACTCTGTATCAAGGTCAGCAGAGGATGCCTTTATTCCACCTGTTTGGAAATGAAATGGTCTTAAAACATGCCTTGACATGACCTAACATGCCCTATCATGAAAAAACATTGTGGTTTGATCAAAGTTTCAATGTTTTGATATGTGTTCCATGTAAAAACACCTGCTGGGCAGAACCGAAACAGGTGTCCCACATCACCAAGTCGTGTTCACAAATGCACGAGAAGCTGGACGCACCGATGAGGCAAGCTGACAGCTGAGAGCAAACATCTGCCCGTGGGACGGGGCTGAGGGGGCACGCATCATGGTTTCATAACGTCGTTTCCTCGTCTGTAGTGCAACAGGCGAGGCTCAGGCCCAACTGCAAAGTGTGCAAGTTCAGTAGCGTCAGTGCCAGCGCTGGCCATTGTTTAACATGTTTAAAGTAAATGTCAAGCGATAAGGATATGGCTGCTGTGGTGAAAGATGAGGTGTAACAGAAGACAGGGTCTGACGGGGAAAGTCCTTAACAAGAGATACTGCAACGGTGTCGGATTAGCAGGGATGAGGGATTTTTTATACGCTCACTTTGGACACAACACGGGTATTTCTGGTTCAGCTGACACACTGTTGGAGCAGTAAGGTTTGGTTATTCACTCGCAGCCCACACACATCCTGACGGCTGCTCAACAGAGTTTCTAAAAAGTGACGACTCACGCTCACACCTGCTGGCTTGCATCATCCCAAGTTTGAAGACAGAGCCTGAGGCCGCTGGAGGAGGTCGACAGGTGGCCTAACCACAAGCGAACCTGATCAATCATAGCATATTCCCCACAACACCTCACAACAATATTTCTGGTGGTTTTTTTGATGTTTAAATCAGCCCTTCACAACAAGCAGAGACAATAAGCCAAGAAGATGTTTGTTGTGTTTCCTGTTGATTTGCGATCAAAGAAGCTGAAATTAAGTGATGAACCTGGAAAAAATGGCAGAGGGTTACAGAAAGTACAAACCATTTGGGATGAAAACTAAACCCAGTTATTGGAACTGAAAGGAAAATAACAAGTACTTTGCCCAAGATAAGAGCCGTGACACATACTTGGTCAAATATGAGTGAAATAAAACTTTCAAAACAATAAAAGTAAAACTAAAATGAAAGTCCCTTCCAGCAAGCCTAAGACTCTCTGTCTAGACATAATGCTCCTCTCAGAAACTGTTTGCCCTTTTACAAAACTTCTCTGAGTTGTTTTTTTGTCACCTAAATGTTTTACATCAGGCTTAACCTACGCGGTGCCGGGGGGCTCCAGGGGGCCCTCAAGGACCACATGGGGGGGGCCTCAGCGTCTTCTGAAAACAGCATAACTCACTAGTGGTCTAAGTTTGAAATGTTATTTTATTCTGATGCTCTTCTTTTTTTAATCAGACTTGGATTTATAGAGCTTTCAAAATGAAAATATGTTAAATAAATTTAGAAATTAAAGGAAACATAAAAAATGTATATTATGCATAAAGTTCTGGTAAACACGGACACCTCAGTACATGAAGGAGCTCTACACTGGAAAAATGATCTAGAAATAAGTAAAAATTTCATAAATTCTGTGTATTTACCCTTAATTTGAGTAGATAAATGAGATGATCTGCCAATAGAATGAGTATTTTTACTCTTAAAATAAGAAAATTAGATAAAAGGCACTTGAAATAAGACAATGTAATTGTGTTTTCTTATTTTAAATGTAAATTGTCTTGTTCCATTGACAAAATGTCTCTTTTACCTCCTCAATTCAAAAACAAATGCACTTATTTTAATAAAAATGACTTATCTAGATTTTTACTTTTTCCAGGGTAAGCCCTAAAAAGGTTGGTGACCCCTGCTTTAGATCTTTAAAGCAATTTCAAATATTGGAAAGAAATCCTTTTTTATATATTATGATTTAATTCTTTCTATAATCCACATTTCTATTTTATTGGAACTTTTCGTGTTTAAGACTAAAAAGAAAGACAGCAACACTTTGCAAACCAGCCTTCTTAAGGGACCCATACATCGTGCAACAGGAAGCCGATCCTAAAGGGTCCAGTAGAAATCCAGCAGTGACCTCTCCAACCCTGGATGCTCATTTAGTGCCATGCCATTAATTGGGATCTCTTCTACTTCAAGTTGAGCTCCCTAAACCGAGTGGTCCTCTGATTAAAGCTGCTTCCAGAGAAAGGACAGAAAACTCCAGCCTGGGTTGGTTTGATCAGAGCCAACGATGCTCCAGAATCAAGCATGTTAGAAATGTCTGGAGCGTCAACCTGCTCGGATGTCAGCAGTGAGGGAAGAGCGTCGTCCTTAAAGCTGGGAAACCTTTTTCAGGCTCATAGATGTCGAGAAAAACGCCTCTCAGCTCTCGAGTTGCTTGATTTGGGGGAAAGATGTGTTGCCGTTTAAAAATCCTTTGGCTTATTTCCTGCTGTTTTTGGTTTCAAGTTGGTTCAGCCGGAGGTTCTGCTGGAAGCTTTGGCAGCAATCTAAATTCCACCTGCAATGTTGGCTCCATTATCATCTGTAACATTCTTACAGATAACAGTTCAGCTTTGGCAGGTTGTGGTTAAGCCAGTAAAGACACGGCAGCTGGATCAGCTTTCAGTTCCTACAAAACCTGCAGAAAATCGAATCAGTTTCTTCAAAAACTCCTCCGTAGAAGGAAGCATGAGGGACTAACAGTCTGACTCATCGTCCCTCCGACTCTGGGACCTGAACTTCTAAAAGAAATATCAACTACTTTCATAAAATAATACTAATAATAATAAAGAAAAAATAGGACTTTGGATCTCTAGGCAATGGTCAAGTTCTTTTCACATGCACATGTCCTATGGGATTAATCTATCCATGCACTGCAAAAAATGTAAATCTAAAGTCATTGAGGAGGTAAGTGAAAAACTTTCCAATGAAACAATTTACATAAAAAATAAGAAAAAACAATTGCATGTTATATAATCAAAGTAGGGCTGCTCAGTGGGTAGCGCTGCTGCCTTGCAGCAAGAAGGTTCTGGGTTCAATTCCCGGCCCAGGGTCTTTCTGCATGGAGTTTGCATGTTCTCCCTGAGCATGCGCGGGTTCTCTCTGGGTACTCCGGCTTCCTCCCACAGTCCCAAAACATGACTGTGAGGTTAATTGGCTTCTCTAAATTGTCCTTAGGTGTGATTGTGTGCATGAATGGTTGTTTGTCTCTGTGATGGACCGGCGACCTGTCCAGGATGGACCCCGCCTCTTGCCCGTTGACTGCTGGAGATAGGCACCAGCACCCCTCGTAACCCCACTTGGGACTGGAGTGTCAGATAATGGATGGATAATCAGAGTATTCATTCCAGCAGCAAATCACTTAATTTACCTTCTCAAATTAAGGGTAAATACTAGTGTTACACTGATACCGATACCAATATCGGACAGGGCCTCAATCCAGCACTAAAATAGTGGCATCAGTATCGGCGAGTATCAACAAATAGGGCAGTGATACCATTCTGAGAGTTTCTTCAACTATTGTTACTCATTCCAGGTAGGCAATAAAAAGTTCTACTGGATTCACTTTTAGTCTTTTTCCTGCTTCACAAAGGAAGGCAGCAGCTTGACAAAGCCATGATGGCAATTATTTTACATCCAAGTAGAATGCAGTTCTTCATATAAACACAGACACATCAAATTCAAACAGATGGTATCGGAATGGGGCAATACTCCACAGCCAGGTATTTTGGCCAAAAAATGCAACACTAGTAAATACACTTAAGACATTTTTATTTATTTATTTTGCAGTGTATAGGAGCTCCTGTTCGTTTCAGTCCACTCTAAAGATCCCCAAAATTCATAATTTCTCATTGCTTTGGTTATAGTCTTTGAATAATGCTCCTCTGAAGAAGCAGCGTCTTTAGGGATATCAGTCCTCTCTAAGGGTGCAAATGGCTGACCGAACAGTGTTTTCCTGTTACCTGCTGACGCAGTCTGAGACTCTTTAAATGCTCAACAAACAGGCGTTTTCATCAGATTTCATCTGTAATGATGCTTTTGAAATGGCCAAGATGGACCGGTGTGTGTGAGATGTTTGTCACAGCAAGAGTCGATTCAGTGTTTTTTTAAACTACAAGTTGTGATAAAAGGAGTGAAGGATTTTTTGTTTGGCTGCGACTCCTTCCAAGAGAGAACTAGCTGTGCTGCTGCCATCAACACCCTTGTTTATAGATTTAGGAGACAGTCTTGTTTTTCAGTGTAGTCCTGTTTCTCTCACTGTGACTAACTGGATGTGCTCTCTTCATCCTCTGACATGGGAGCTGGCTTGGAGCTCGTCTGCCTGGCTGTGTGTTTCCTGGACGGGGCCGCCTTTCTTTTTTTTTTTTATCTCTGCTTCTGTCTCCTTGAACCCCAGTGGGCCTCAGCAGATGGCCGCTCACACTGAGCCTGGTTCTGCTGGAGGTTTCTTCCTGTTCAAAGGGAGTTTTTCCTCTCCACTGTCGCTACAAGCATGCTTAGTGTGAGGGATTGCTGAAGAGTCAATGAGTCGATGCAATCAGCTGGTTTCCATAAGAGAGAAAACTTTGAACCAATTTGACTGGATGATCAGGTGAACTGGAAAGTGCCTTAAGATGTGTTGTATAAATACAGTATATGAATAAACTGAATAGAACATATCATTGAGTGTTTTGAATCTATATGAATGTTCCTTTATGATATGGGGGGGGGGGGGGGGGGGGGGGGGGACTTTTCACTGTAGCTTGCATCCATTGGGCCACGTTTAACTAGAGGGGTTTCCTCCCGTTTTTAAAAAATGAAACCATTTGAAACGTGCTTTCTGTGTTCATTCAGGTTTTTTTTTTCCTATTATTTGTTTTAAAGATCAGAAAAAAATCAATCAGGGGGAGAATACTAATCAACCAGAAAAAGAAAAGACACTGAGCCAAAGAAGGATAATGTAGACCAAGTTTTAATACCAGAAATGAACCCAAACACCATCAAACCTCAGACTCCACCATGATTCAGGTCCTTCATTTCAGTAGCTTTCTGATTTACGGCACAATATGGCACACACTCACTCCTTTCTTTCACTCCCTCACACACACACACACCTCATACACGTTTCTCCATCCTCGTGGGGACTTTTATTGACTTCCATTCATTTGTAACCCATTTCTACAGCCTAACCGTGAACCTAACCCTAACAGAAGCCAATTCACAACTTACTCCTAAACCAAACCCTAAAACAGCATTTATACCCGACCAGACATTAGTCCCCCCCAGGGCACTCAGTCCCCACGATGTGCTGGGATTTATGGTAAACAGTCCCCTCACACACACACACATTCTCTTAAGTCCATCTAATATTATCATCCAAATATTTATATTCTGTCTGTTCATTAAGCTAAATCACTACTTGAATTTGTACACCGCTGGGCGAAGATGAGTCAACCATCAGTACATTTAAAACAGACTTTTCTTTTTTAATAATTAAAGCATTTCTCCAGTTTATTGGCTCGTTAAGCTCCAGGCCGATCGAAGCGTCGCTTTCAGAGTTAGAGGCTCATTTTAAAGTTCCACGTCCGTATTTCAGCTCCAACCATCGTCTGCAGCTGATGAAGACGAAACAAACACGCATGATGATGAGCGAGGATTGGCACGGGAAATAACAGTCCTGAGAGGATGTATGAAATAACTACTTTGACTCTTCTGATAGAGTTCTGCATTAGGAATCACATTCCTCAGAGTTTAAATAAACGGATGGAGGATGAAGCAACGCCGCGCCTCTGATCCGGGGCGTTTTTCACCAACTCATTCCGCTTTTCCTTCCCTGATGCTGCAGAGCCACCGACTGAGGGTGGCGGTTTACCCGCGTCTCTCAGATCGGCTTTTGTTTTCTTAAGGGTGTGGGAGGTTCATCCGATCCTCTATCAGAGTGTTGTCTAGACCTTGTGCTTCCATGCATTGCTTCACGGTTGTTATGACTCCTGTCAGACGCCTGTCCAGAGCGGACAGGTGAGGTTCGGCCAGGACGGGATAAATGGGATCAAAAGCAAGAGCTTGTCGCATGGTGGAGCTCAGAACTCCACCTTTCAGGAAGTTCAACCTGTTCCAGGTGGAAACGCGAATCCTGTAACAGAAAAAAATAAAAATCGTGCAAAAAGGATTTTAGTGAAGGACAACTAGATAAGCTGGATCTGATGGGAGCCTGAGGAGACTTACATGCAGCACTGGTAGAGTGGTGCCAGGATGCTTCGCTCATCCAGAGCTGCATTCCCAAAGCTGCAGAACAGAAACACAAACATGGAGATTAAAATGTCTAGCTTGGGCTTTAAAGTACACCGCCCTGTTTTTTACCCTTTGTCACATGTTATGTGCATCGGGCACATTAATTATTTTTCCTTCTATTGTTGCATAGACCTTAGTTGAATCACTTATTTTATTGAGTCTTGATAATTCTTTTTTCTTTAGTAAATTGATGACGTTAATTTGCGTGATATTGGTCGCCTGTAAGGCTGGGTTTAGTCTCTCTCTCTCTCTCTCCCTTCCAGCCTTCTGGACGATCCATCGTCACAGAGAGCGCGTCCGGACGCGATGCGCACGTCTCCTGTCTTTGTAGGCCGCCGCTGACCTCTCCAGCCTGCCATGCGGTATTTTTGTTCGTTAGCCTTTGTTTTTTGCTGATATTTTTGTAACTTTGACCTGGTGGGAACCGGTTGTCCTGTTTTCGTTCTTTTTTTATTTTTATTAGAGTTTAAACCGTTAGTTCGTTACTAGCAGAGGCTTCGGCGGCCCTCTGCTGTAACATTTTGTTTCTTTGGATCGGCTCACCAGGCCCAACTTTCTGTTCATAATTTGGGTTTTTTTCTTTTCTTTTTTCTTTCTTAGAGTTTCTTTTTGGACACGGGGAACTAGGGGAAAAAATCTGACTCTCTGTTTTTTGTCTCTTTGCAGAACACCTGATCTAAAAAGAAGTTCCAGAGATTAAGAATAAAATGGTGGCCTGGGCGGTCGTAACATCACGTTACAGCCAAACTTCCACGTGTTTCACCCACCAGGTACTCGAAGGCCTCGGAGGTCGGGACTCGGGTCCGGTGACCCCACTCAGAGTCATGGCTGTGTTAGCGCCCACTCAAACCCACTGTGTTATTATCACACCTCTAACTGTGGAACACCTAGCATCCCATCATCTTAACACAGAACCACAAAGAACACGGTCAGGATCCGGTTATTTGGTCTAGAACAGGAGTCGCCAACCTGCGGCTCCAGAGCGCTCTTTAGCGCCCCCCTGTGGCTCACTGCAGCTTTTTCAAAGTAAAAAATATGAAAAAAAGATGGATTTTTGATTGTTTTAATATAGTGTGCAGAAGGTAAAACATTATTTATGTTTTTCAATGCTGTAAAAATTTATAAAAAATAAACTCATTCTTATCAACAATTGTGTCATAGCCTGTGACACGTTTCTGGGCAGCGCGGAGCCAGATAAGTGGCTGTTGTAAACAAACTGGTGGGTTCAATGTAATTAAATTATATCGTAGTAATGTATTATTTTCGTTTACTATTTATCTTATCAAAAGGCTGCGGTTTATTGCACTGTTGCCCCGATAATGAGGGGAAAAGAGGATTTGCGGTTTGAAGTGAACTGCATTTTTTCCCACCTTAAGTTTTGAAATTACAGGAGTGCTATTATGCACTTTTTTTTTTTCAAAGCCTCAAAATAAAAATAATACCAAAAATCGTATTTCTTTATTGTATTTCTATAATTCCATCGATTCCAGATATAATAATACATTAATAATGTGATGGAAGTTAAAGTTAAAGCATCAAATATGAAACAGCAGATTTGTCACATTTCCTTCAGGATTTGCTGCAGTAAAAAAGAAACATTTAATCATGAATGCTTATTATGTATTTAAGCCTAATTAGTCATTTTGATAGTGGTTTAATAAACACTTAGAGCCCTTAGGGGGCTTAAAGTAAAATTTAATATTTTTGCTGCTGCAGACAGATCTTATTTCGGTCCAATACGGCTCTTTTTGCCGACCCCTGATATAGAGGTCCAAACGAACGATGGCTCAGAAAAAAAGACAAAGAAAGTGTGAAAAACTGTGCTTAGACCAGACTGTGACATATAAACTAATTTAATAGACAGACTAGACTAAGCTGGTTCTGTGGGTGTTTGGTATGACTCAGTTATAAAGCGGTTTTAGTGGCGGGAAGTTGTTTGAAAAAGAGATGGGCAAACTGGAAGACATCAAAAGGAGGCATGAGTGAAAATATTAAGGGATTTCAAATGCAAGATGTCAAACTGGATAAACAAGATCCTTACAGTGCTGGTACGTTTACTAAAAGTAAGAATTTTACTGTAAATCTTTAAGAGTGACTAATTTGTTTTTCCGTGTTGTGGGAATGGTTCCAGTATCAGTTACTGTAAAAGCGGTGGTTCATGTTCATTTACTGTCTGCTTCAAGATAAACCAAACAACCAATTAAAGGAAAATTAAACATTCAAAGGATTTTATTCCCTCTAAAAAATCTCCATCTCTAGAAAAAAAAAAGGTTTCCAACAGCTGTACAGTTCTCACCTCTTGGCGTTGTCGAGCAGAATGAGCATGCTGGCTCCTCCGTCATCCTGGAAACTCTCGTAGTGATGGCGATCGGCGTTGCCGATCAGATAATCAAAGATAGCCGTATCAATAACATCAAGCAGCCTCGGCCCCGCATCGTACGGGGGCATTTTCTTCACCGCCTCGCAGTAGCTTTCATCATACTCCCACCTACATGAGAAACAAACATCAAAGCTCTCTGATACCAAATATATGCAATTTGTTAGCCTTGATCAGCGAGTCCCTTCCTGCCACCTCTTCAAAGATAAGATAAGTGGTTACTGTGGCATTTAAGAGGAAACGTCATTAAGTTGAAGACATCACAGATAGTAAATCAAGAGCTGTATTTGTTCAAAACACGTGAAATGCATTTGTCCGATGGGTCTTTCCCTGGGGAGGCATAGCAGATCTATCTGTCACAACAGATGATAATGGGCATGAAACTAAGGTACTATCAGATGGACTATTACTACATGATGCAGCTGTGAATGCAGCTGTGAATGCATCAGTGCCAGATGAGGGAACCTCCTCCAGTCTGGATGCAGTTAGAGAAACAAGCTTATAGGAGAATGTGATGCCATCTAATAATGTGTTTTAAAGAAATGGGAGACATAAATGCACCGATTCATTCTGCGACATATTATGCCAGCTTTAGCAGAGTTCTACAGTTACCTTTATCTGAATGCATCTATACAGATATGAGGAGTTAAATCCACATATGAGTAACCTGATGAGCCCGACTGATGAGGTTTAATCTGTGGGTTTAGTTTACGACTAATCTGTTCAGAAGGAGTAGGGACATTCAGGAGCACCGTCCGAGCTGATTGGGTGAAGCGCCACCTAAGCACCCGCCTACCTATCTTTGGTTTTAGCCAATCACAGTAACACATGAAGAAGCAGCAGGCAGCATAAAAAAACACAAAAACTCATGATATTCTTGCTGAATGAAATAAAATAGTCATGGATTCTGCAAAAATTTAAATAATAGGGGCACCGGTGAGCACCTCGTCCCGCACTGCCATCTTTATTTAGGTTCACCTTAAACCATAGAGGTACGGGATTAGTCCAGGGTTTATACAGGAATTAGTTACTTTAATTTAATGCTTTTTAATGCTCTTAGAAATCATTTTAATGCAACAAGTACCCAAGACTCTCTATCTCATATACACTATATTGCCAAAAGTATTTGCTCACCCATCCAAATTATTGGAATCAGGTGTTCCAATCACTTCCATGGCCACAGGTGTATAAATTCAAGCACCTAGGCATGCAGACTGTTTTTACAAACATTTGTGAAAGAATGGGTCGCTCTCAGGAGCTCAGTGAATTCCAGCGTGGAACTGTGATAGGATGCCACCTGTGCAACAAATCCAGTCGTGAAATTTCCTCGCTCCTAAATATTCCACAGTCAACTGTCAGCTGTATTATAAGAAAATGGAAGTGTTTGGGAACGACAGCAACTCAGCCACGAAGTGGTAGGCCACGTAAACTGACGGAGCGGGGTCAGCGGATGCTGACGCGCATAGTGCGAAGAGGTCGCCAACTTTCTGCAGAGTCAATCACTACAGACCTCCAAACTTCATGTGGCCTTCAGATTAGCTCAAGAACAGTGCGCAGAGAGCTTCATGGAATGGGTTTCCATGGTCGAGCAGCTGCATCCAAGCCATACATCACCAAGTGCAATGCAAAGCGTCGGATGCGGTGGTGTAAAGCACGCCGCCACTGGACTCTAGAGCAGTGGAGACGCGTTCTCTGGAGTGACGAATCGCGCTTCTCCATCTGGCAATCTGATGGACGGGTCTGGGTTTGGCGGTTGCCAGGAGAACGGTACTTGTCTGACTGCATTGTGCCAAGTGTAAAGTTTGGTGGAGGGGGGATTATGGTGTGGGGTTGTTTTTCAGGAGCTGGGCTTGGCCCCTTAGTTCCAGTGAAAGGAACTCTGAATGCTTCAGCATACCAAGACATTTTGGACAATTCCATGCTCCCAACTTTGTGGGAACAGTTTGGAGCTGGCCCCTTCCTCTTCCAACATGACTGTGCACCAGTGCACAAAGCAAGGTCCATAAAGACATGGATGACAGAGTCTGGTGTGGATGAACTTGACTGGCCTGCACAGAGTCCTGACCTCAACCCGATAGAACACCTTTGGGATGAATTAGAGCGGAGACTGAGAGCCAGGCCTTCTCGTCCAACATCAGTGTGCGACCTCACAAATGCGCTTCTGGAAGAATGGTCAAAAATTCCCATAAACACACTCCTAAACCTTGTGGACAGCCTTCCCAGAAGAGTTGAAGCTGTTCTAGCTGCAAAGGGTGGACCGACGTCATATTGAACCCTATGGATTAGGAACGGGATGTCACTTAAGCTCATATGTGAGTCAAGGCAGGTGAGCAAATACTTTTGGCAATATAGTGTATATATATATACAATACAGCAAAATCCTTCAGGGTTCCTACAGCATAAGGCAAGTTAAATTCAAGACTTTTTAATGCCACTTGAAATAAAAATGTAAGACCAAATTCACAAGAAACACAAGAAAAACCTGCTTGCTACAGCTTAACCCAAAGGTTTATTCTAACATAAACCACTGAACTAATGTTTCAAATGTTGAAAAGCTTCCCATACAGGAAGAAAGCTAAAATCACACAAATGACAGATATATTTGAACAATTATTTAACTGAATTCACTAACTTTGTTTTAGCAGGGAATAAAAAAAATCAGTTTTAAAGCCCCAACATAACCAGTGCTAAGTCTTTTTAGCAGCTATTTTTCTTTGTATGGTTTTCTTAGTATGTTTGATTTGGTGATAAGTGGAGGCGTTGCAGAGACAAGGGTGGAACTAAACTGAGAAATACCGGCTGTTTGACTCCACTGCCTTAATTCCCATCGTTCTGAGCTTGAATGACTTCTTGCACTAAATCCACTGAGCCTCATGTATGTTTCCTGGTTTTATCCATGGAGAAAAGTCTTGGCTGGAGACAATTTTGGTTACATTTATACTTGCTCATATTTTCCAGACAAAAAGTTAATGGCGCATCTCCCAAATGTCCCGGCCGCAACAACGCTTTTATTGGTTCCGCTATCGGGACGGAACCAATAATGGCGAGCCGTTATTTTTTTTTTGTTATAAAAAAAAAAAAAATTGTCAATTTTAACGTCTTCTTTTCAGAACATACGGCTTTGCGATCAACCGGAGGCAGTTCCGCACAAACACGCAGAACAGTTATATCTGATACGATATATCTGATCTAATTGTTTTTATTAACTTTTTTTCCTTAAATAAAGCATTTTAAATGCCACTATCATCACATTTAATAATTTTTTATGCCAATTAAGGCCTTAATTTAAAAAAAAATAATAATTTAAAGGCTTAATGATTGTTAATGACCCGCGGAAACCCTGGAGCCGCTCCGTTTTGGGTCTGTCTGGAACAGATGAAGCAGGAAAAGATGAATTGTAGTGTGACTGTGAAACACTACGACAGAGATCCCAGCTTGCAGGCGTTAGCATATTAGCCTTATGTCAGCCAGTTTATATATAGATTTTAAAATGACAATATCTAAAAGAAAATTTGAAATTAAAGGAACAATAAACTACTTTTATTGTGCATAACGTTTAGATGACTCCACAAGTTCATAGGTCAGTATTTATAGTCCTTCCTATGACTCAGTACCCATGAAGGAGCTTAGCCTTAAAAAGGATGGTGACCCCGGGTTCAACACTGATATCTGCTGATTTAAAAGTATCGAGAACATTCAACCTAAACAGGAAAATTTGGTCTTTTCTTGACCTTGCCTTCCATGGAGGTGGAAGTTTCATTTGACGTTTTTTTTTTCCACTGCAACCTTTGCAAGTTTTGGCAAAAGGACAAGTTTCACCCACTTCTCCAAATTGCATCATCACTGGTGAAGAAAAGTGGTACCAAAGGTTTCAAAAACCTCCATGTTGAAACTTTTCCTCTATTCTATATTTATATTTTCCAGTGCCATGGGTGGTGATAAAGTTAGCGGCTGTTAGATCCATTAGCCAGTTGTTTCAGTAGGGACCCCTTCCCGCTGTCTCTGAGGTAGCTGGTGGAGCGAGCCTCTATCTGAGAAGCCGTTGTCCTGCAGAAATATGGAGCTCCATTCATGGAAAATCGTAAATCCATTTCAGGGCTGTTTACTTCAAATTTGCAGCTGGTTTAAAAGATAATTATAATTATTCAATGCTTAATTAATTAATTGCTGAAATTACCCTAAAGACTTCTGTCCTCCAGATGAATCGACTTTACTGATTTTCTTTTGCGTTCCGTCTGTCTGCAGTTTCTGTGTCTTAAAGCAGGTGTTACTGAAAAGAACACCTGCTTGTAACATATTTATGTTGTTAATTTTTATTAGAGGGATAAATGATTAAATCTTAATAAATAATGCATCCATGCATCCAAGTACATCCGTATAGTTAATTCATACTGAATATTCTTCCCCTCCCAAAATGAGTCACTGCTGAAACTCAAAGAAATACGCAATGAAAAAAATATTGATATTAAAATTTGATTTGTATCTATGTTGGACTTTGATTTTTAGAAATTTGATTTTTTGAATTTACTAATAAATTAAAAAGTATTTAATAAAAAAATAAATAAATAAAACATTAATCCTGGTTTAACTGTATTTTCTAAGGGCAACATGTTCTTCATTATGACTACACCCTTAAGGATTCATTAATTTTCGGATAGTTTCGTTCTTGACAAGACTGCAAGTGAGTAATCGTAGCTTGTTAACTTTTTGTTTTCCTAAAAATTAAAAGCATATGTGAGGGTAAACAGTTTAAGGATCAGTTTGATGCAGAAATGTCAGAATGTTTTCTGTGGTTTAGACATAATTGTGTCAGTCTATTACCACTGTCTGCAACTATCTTTAGCCCCAACACCGTGGCTCTGACCAAAACAAATGAAAAATATTTTAATTATCAAGGCAACAGTGGTTGTCATGCGTATCTGCATGAAAATATCTTAACAGCACATAACTATTGTTTTCCAGCTTTAACTATATGTGTTATATTTTTAAGGTGGACTGTGTCCTTTATATCTATGGTGGCTCACACAGCTTGACTTATTCAGATTATTTTTTTTTATGTTAAATTATGATTTTCTTTTAAATGCTAAAAAATAGAAAATCTTTGATTTCAT